CCCGTTTCCTTTCAATTTCAAAAGCGCGGTTGGTCAAAAACTCTCGACAGCGGTTCAAAATGTCAAGGAGTAGTAAGCAAATAGATTACTACGCGTGCGTCTTGTGAACTAGCATCGAAGTTGCAACATAAGTCACAAAACGATATGAAACATGAAATGAGTTCTACAGGATTATATTATAGGACAAATAAGTCAGTCATATCATCCTCATAAGAGCTAAACGATGACTTAAAGACCGCGAGTCTTCAAAATTTTGGAATTTTTCTGGCTCTGAAATTTTGGAAGTTTTCTGAAGTCCGCGATTTTATTCGTACCATATGAAAAAACTGGATCAGCCACCGGGGTGCTGTGCTTTGGAACACTGCATCCGCCGGGTACTAAATACTAATAATTTCAAGCAATTCTATGCCAGAGTTAGAAAGTACATTCTTATTAACCAAGAAGACTTCAATGCGACCTGGATAAAAAAGCAAAACAAGAACGTAACAGATTTTAAATTTTATTAATGTGAATGTATATGTATATTATTATTATTGCTGCTGTACATATTTATGTTTTAAAAAACCCTTACTGATAAGTACATATTTATGTTTTCTTAAATCTTTAGCTAGATAAACGACCCCACAAGCCAACCTGTTGCTTTGAACAAAATCGTGTTTAAATAATTGAAATAAAGGATTGTTGTTGTTTTTGAGCTGAGTTTAGAAAATTCCTAAACGGAAATTTATCACCGTGCGTTTTTGACCGCTGGCGTCACATCAAGTAATTTACGCATGCTCGATGTCATTTCAGGTCCTTGTCCGCGTCCTATCCACGCGTCCTTGATTGAGGAAAGGCGTAGATGGTCGCCCGACTCGGGTGGATAGAAACAGTTCTATGCATTTGCGGAAGTTGACTATACTTGTGGAGATGGCTTATTGCGGTGATAAATGAATTCATGTGTCTTGGTCTTCAGGTGAATATTGCAAGTGTGAACGTGAAGATAAGTTAAGGACAGCGACTTCACGTTCCTGTCCTAGGTCGTCATCCTAGACACATTCGGTTAACGTGTTTACATCCTTGTTGAGACGTGAGTTAGACCCCGTAACGATTCCTTTGGGAGGTAACAATTGTGCAATTTGCCACACACAACTGATTGCATGGGAATATGTGCAAACAGAA